GACAAGTCACTTCACTTCTGCCTCAATTTCCCCATCTATAAAAAGGGGATAACACTAGTACCAACCTCCCAGAGTTGTTATGAGGATAAAATGAGACTATTTGTAAAGTACTCTGCAAAACTTAAAGCACTATATAAATGCTAGTTCAAATCCAGTAGTAATCTGATACTTAATACTTATATGGCAAATCATTTGGGTAAGTCTACTTGGGCAAATCACTTAACCTCCTTGGGCTTCAGTTTCCTAATATGTAAAATGAAGGGGCTAGAGAAGATGGCCTCTTTAGTCCCTTTCAGCTTCACATCTATGACCCTATGTGGCACACTGGATATTAGTCCTTCCCCCTCATCATGAACATAACTGAAGCCTTTTGGGGGAGACTATCTGTGAATTTTAATCTGTGTTTTGAATTCCATTTGGGAAGAAGACTCTTCAGGGAAAGACCCCAATTCTGTTTGCTCCTCTTCTTGTCTGATTCCAACCTCAACAACCCGGGATCCAGAAAGATTTGGGGAAGAAGGGACATGAGAGAATGCTCTGCTAGCACAACCAGAAGCTAACTCTGTGTAATGCATTGCTAAGAGCTTCTGTGACTGGTGAGGAACTGTCTGGCTGCCCCACAGACTCTCCCCAAGGAATCACTAAAGTTACAATTTATGGAAACAGAAAAAGCACTCCATACCCAGATCAGCACCTGTATCTCCAAATTATATTGGAAGATTCTGAGAAATGGAGTGGGAACCATAATTCCCCAAAACTGTCTCTCCTGAAATAGAATTTATAAGAACATACACTTAGGGACTTCTACTTTTTTCTTAATGAATTTGAAAAGGGATGAAAGTATTATGATCCTTCATATAAATTAACAAATTAGGTTTTCCTTCCTGGGTATCAAAGGAGAGTGTCCCAGTATGACCTGAATCTTCCTTACTTTGTTAACAGAAAAATTCAAGTCACAATTTATAATCCCACCTTCAAAAATTTGGAGTAATACAGTTTTGTTTTTTATACTTCCTTCACTTCCCTTTTAAGAATTATTACAATGAGGGAGGGAGGGAGAGAGGGGGAGAGAGAGAGAGAGAGAGAGAATGAGGAAGAAAGGGAGAGAAAGGAGAGGAAGGGAAGAGAAGGGAAGGAAAAGAAAGGTAATTGTAGCATTTTTTAAATGAATAGAAAAAATAGAAGTATTTTCAGAAGATGACAGACATGGAGAACAGTTTTGAAACTAATATGTTGAATGTATTATATAATTTTGAAAAGAAAAGTAAACTTTATGGAAATGTGTAGGTTTGCAAATGCAATATTCTTCCTGTTCCTCTTTGTATCCATGAATTTTTGCTAATATTTGACAAGTTTGGAATAAAAAATAAATAAAATCTATTTTCCTTCAACCAAAATAATCTACCTAAGCATTTTCCCCTCTTCCATCAAGAAGGCTCTTTCATCCTAGGATTGCAGGATAATCCAACAATTCTTCACAAAACATCTCACTTAAAGTTGCTGGGTCAAGGGCGAGCCAAAGGCTGTGTTCTGACCTGGCAAGATATGTCATATCATACTGGGTTCTGGGAGGCACATTTTAGGAAGGATGTTGACAAGTGTGTAAGCATGTGAAGGAGGGCAACCAAGATGGTACCTAGACTTGACAGCATGCATATGAGAACTGTCTGAAGGAAATGGTGTATTTATCCTGATGAAGAAAAGTCTTACTTGATAACTGGTGTCAAGTATTTATTTGAAGGGCTGCCAGGTGCAAGAAGGAACAGATTGTTTAGCTTAGCCTCAGAGGGCAAAATAAAGCTCAATGGGTAGAAATCACTGAAATCAAGGACTGATGTAAGGAAGGACTTCCTAGCAGTGGAAATCATCTCAGTGGATGTCTTTAAGCATAGCCTGGATGAAGACTTCCCAAGTATGTTACAGAGGGAATTCTTGTTCAGGAATGGGTTTTGATTAGATGGACTTTGAGATCCCTTTTAATTGTGAGATTTTAAGTTTCGACCAGAACTTTTCTAATATGGTTCTAACATTTTTCCCCTGTCAAGACATCTTTTTTATGTTATGAAGAAAAAACACATCCTATTTATACACTGGAGACCTGATGTTCAGCCTCATTGAAACTTTATTAGAAATCTGAATTATAGAGTCATAGGAATGATGGCTCGATGGAAACCTTGGAGATCACCTAGTCCAACTTTTTTTAATTTACAGGCAAGAAAATTATTATTCTAATTAGTTTTACTATTGTCATAGCAAAATTGTAGTAGTATATACATAAATTGTGGGCTACTACCCATTTGAAACTATCTATACTAACAAATAACACTGCAGAAATGTCTTTATGATGCTCCACTATAACAGAATCCTCTACCACATGGTTCACATAACTTTATACTGTGTCTTTTTGAGAGAGCTTTCATAAGCACTATTACCACACATTGTATGATTTATTTCTTACAATAACTTCATGAGCCTGGTAGTAAAAATATCACTGTCATCATTTTACAGATAAGGAAACTGAGGCTCAGAGAGTTGAAGTGCCTTGGCCAAGGTCACACAGCTAGTAAGTGGACAAGAACTCACTTCTTCTGAGCTTCAAGACTTGTGTTCTTTCTGTTACAGCACAGTCTCCATGTATACAATTTTGGTACTGGTCAACTTTTCGACAAATTTAAGCAAAGTACAAAATAAGAAACATAGTACTGACAAATTAAACTACTCCATACCAATTACATAATTGTTCTACATTTGGCAATTTAACAAATACACTGCAGAACAACAACAACAAAAAAGGATCCCTGCTTGCTTTTAAGAACATCGTGAAATGTCAAATTGTACGAGAGAAATAAAACATTCCATTTGGCAATAATTTGTTGTTAATAATCTAGAGAGATTAAGAATCAATTTGAAGGTATTTTGTTGCTAAGAAATTTAGAAAATGTATTCAATAAAATCCAATTGGCAACTCAATCAGGACATGTAGTCATTACTCATCTTTAAATGGCCAATTTTCAAAAGATCCCAATGAGAACCACAGAATTTACTATATAAATTACTGTATTTTCTTAACCAGTTAGTATACTTACAATTGTTGGATGATATTAAAGTATGGAAACCAAAAGTTTAGCTAACTGCTCCTTTTTCAGCGCACACTTAAGTTATGTCCACAAACATAAAGGGTACACCTATCTTCACAAGGGGCTGTTTAAAGAGTGGTGACATAAGCAGTAAGGATCCAAGTAGATGTCAGATGACTCCACATCATAGATATTGCAGGGAGACTCATGTTTCAAAGAGAGATTGTACTAGATGACTTCTGAACTTCCTTCCAATTTCAGGTTATACGATTCTAAGTTAAGTGATTTTACTAAGGAATGCTAAATCTTAAAAGATGTTAGAGCTGGAAGGGAGACTTACACCTTATCTTCAACCCCTTCATTTACAGTTAGGGAAATTGAGGGCCAGAGAGATGAAATGATTTGTTTAAAGTCACACACCCTGTTTGTGGTATAACCAAGATGGACGAAGGCTCTGCTGGCAGCCTAACTTCTAAACTGATAGGAGGGATGCCTCTGGGTGTAGTGAGTTTCACATCACAGATCTTCCAGCAAAGACTGGATGACCACTTGTTGAAGACATAGTATAAGGATTCATGCTACAGGTAAAAGCTAGACTAGACAAACTTTAAAATTCCTTCTAATTCTGGGATTATATATCATTATGACCGTTCTCTACTGAAGTCTTCTACTCTTACTAATTGGAGACAGTATTTTCTATTGGATTATATAGTTGCAACTAGCACACTTGTTAATTTGGAAAAACCAAATAAAAAACTGGTCCATTCTTTGATATTAGTGATTTTCAAGCAGGCACTTGCTATGAACGGATCTTTCCTCCTACATATTTCACGTTCCAAAAAGAGGAAACAGGGAAGGAATTCTTATATCAACAAATACTAATAGGTTCCAATCGTGTTAGGCAAAGTAGCATGAAGGAATGGTATTAACTTTTTTTTAAAAGATATGGGCCAGCAAAGCTAGTACCTTGCTGACAAAGTATCAGAAGAGCACAAGTTTACACGCAAAGATTCATTTTCTTAGTTAGGCTCTGATTAAATATCTTATGAATTCTAATGTAGTGTCCTTATACAAACAATTAAGTAAATATCTCCAGGAAATACATTGCTAATGCATCTAAATTAAAGAGATTTCTTGCTGGTAGGATTTCAGTCATATCCAAAGATGTACTTTTGGAGGAGGGGGAGAGGGAGAGAAAAAAAGAAAGAAAGAAACACAGCCCGCATTGCTAATGAAATTTGGTTGAAAATTGCTGTAATCCATTTTCTGATAAAGTGGCTCAGATGCATTTTACCCAACCCAAAATACATAAGACAGAGATAAAAACATTCTTTAATAATAATGTACTTCTGATGAGATGGAATATAGAAAATTACACACTTGGTAAATTCATCAGCTAGAAGCAATCAGTAGAGCATTGGAGGTCACCTTTAGCATGTCCTCCGTTTGCTTTCATAAACAATCACCTGAAATGGAATGCTTTGGCTGACTTTTTCATTTGATTCAAACACGAAATGCTCATTATTCTTTTATGTCACACCAGGTTGATTTTAAACTTGTTCATCATTTAACCCAAATGCATACACATTTGAAAGTAATGTTCAGCAGACTGCTATGGAACTCTATGTCTTCATCAGCAAACAAAGGCTGAAACACACTCAAAGGCAGCCCTTCCTACAATCAAGGTTCAAAGTTGTTTGTGTCTTTGTAGGAGACATCTGTATCATCATTTTCATTATTTTTAAACTATATCAAGTTTCTCTCAAGATCAAACAGTTGAAATTTAGATAGATAGAGAGAGAGACAGAGACAGAGACAGAGAGACAGAAAGAGGATGCAGTTATGAAGGAAAAGAAGCAATTCTTTAAGAAAGGAAAAGGAAATAAAAGGTCAGGTTAATTGCCTGCATTTAAATATTCTCACCTTTGTTGCAAGGGCTTCAGCACTTTCTCGACAAGTCTTCTCTATTTCCAGATGGTTCTGCATAAAATTTACTTCCTCTATAACCATGTGAGAAACTAAAAATGAAGAGAAAAAGTTTTTAGCATTAAAAAAATTAGTCAGCTATTTCCAGGAATTCATGTCTCATGATTGTGAATGTCATAATTCTCTTACTAGCTAGTCCTTTAACTACTACCAGAAAATGTTAAAAACTATTTGAACTCTGAAATTGGCAAATGTTTTATAACTTTCCATATAATATACACATTACATACATACATATATAGTATATATAAATATGCTGCCCTTTAGAAAGCAATAAGAAAACTTGTTAATGTTATGTTAAATAAAGGAAGCGTCTCTCTTTCTCTCTCTTAACTAACGAGAAGTGTTAAACATGACACACAGTTCCTGGCAAGCTATCATAGATAGATTCAGAGGGAAAATCAGTTAATCAAAATTAAGAGAAGATTCGCACTAGGAAAATAAACAATTTGTCCTAAGTACCCATTGATCATAGCATGCTGGAGTGACCATGTGGCAGCATTAAGCAAGGCAGGAAAAAATCTATTGCTATATATTCTTAATTTGTAGAATTCATGACATAGAAGTCACTGCAATGTAATAAACTCTGGAGGAAAAGTACAGGAACAAAGTAGCTACATCCTATATATCAATGAAATCAGATAGAGAATAAAAACTCTGGCATTATATCTAGTAGGGTTAGAAGAAAAACAGAGCTTTTTAGTTTTTTAATGCTTTACCATTAATTTAAAAATACTCCTTTTGAGACTTTCCTAAGTTGGTTTATTGAATTTCGTACCTGAAAGCTTAAAGTAATTTGAACTTGCATTGTGTTTTTAACTCCAGAGAAGGAAAATAACATCTTTTCCCATATTTGGGGGTTAAATAAAATGCACTGTCATAAACTGAACTGGAGATATATGGATGTATTGATTCTTGTCACATCCAATCACAGAACACCCAAATGTGTGAAGCCTCCCAAAGTTAGGCAAAAGGCCCTGGGCTTGCGTCACACAACTAGAGATTACTTTTGCTTCATTTAAGTTTAATTAACCTACAATTATGATTAAACTCAGGGAAAAAAAATTTCTCTCCAAATTAAATACAAAAATGTATTACTTCCTAAGTCTGTCCAAAGTTCTTATTATGTTAATATTCAAATTCATAAAACAGCACTAAGTGGCCAGAAACATCTCTAACCTTGACATTTTTTCAGGGGTAATAATAATCTGCAGCAAATGCAGGCCAACCAAAAACCACTTAACTAATTAGTAGTTGCAGTCACCGAGAAAAACATGAATCAACACTGTTATTACAAGTGGCACATTTGAGTGGCATCTAATTATGACTTGATGAGCACGATACTTGCATTATCAACATTACTACTGCATCCCATCAGGGACTAAAAGCTGCTGATGGCATTGACTTCGAGAAACTCCCACTCAATGGTACAGCAGCACCCAACAATCCCCTTGGCAGGGGCACCCTCACTAAATGACACGTTAAGCATAATTACTGGTAGACATTGTAAATAAACAGGATTGGAAGTGAACATTGTACCAAGTGCATAAGACACAATCTGACACATTGGAAGTGGCAGCCGTAATTGCGAGTTTCTTTGACTGCTCAAGATCATTTCAACTGCATTTCTCAGAGGACAGTGATTATAACTGTGGAGACAGACGGCATAATGGTATCAGCACTGCTGACAGAGCAGTGAATTAAATTGTATCTGCTGTTGTGTGAAAGCCTTGATGAGAGGTACAGATGCCTTAGTGGTCTTATCATTATAACACAATGGTCATGTTGTCATCAACCTTTCTGGCTCCAATTGAAAAGAAATGATTGTGTGTTGAAGCCCCCCCCCCCACTTTCCTCACCACCCCCCTCCTCCCTTTCTATCTCTTGTTCTGAATAGAACCAATTTTCAGAGAGCTATGAAATCACGCAATAGGGCCTAAAATGCAGCTGCTTGGCATACAAACGGGTCCCCATTAAACTGGAATCACACACAATATGTGTTTATGCCAGAAGAACAAATAAAAGCTGAGTACAGGCCAAGTTTATTCACAGACACAAAGCCTGTGTAGCTCTTCATCAATATAATTGCCTTTTATATTGTAGTTTAAATAATAGGCTCTATTATTTCCTTAAAATCCTAATATTCCCGGCATTTTATCACTATGTTTACAAGGTATGTTCTTCAAAAAATGTGAAGGGAAGAGAAAAGAAACCTATACAATTTTACAACATCAAATATTACTTTGAATTTTTAGTCTTAACTACTTGACATTTTCTGCCACAATCTGGTATTTCCAGTATCATAACAAAAACATAAACACTCCACACTTTTCATAGGAATTTGACTTTTTATTCAACAACATTCTTACTTATGGAAGAGTTAGAAGATCATTTCAAGGTAGTGAAGTTTAGGCCTAGTAGATACACACACAAAAACAGTTTGTAAAAAGCTGTCATGTCATTTAACTTGATAAACTTAGCTAGATGGCACAAGCTTGTGGTATTCCCACCCTTCTCCATCCCCCAACCCCCCACCCATGATTCTATGTTTGCTATTCTATCTGGCACAATATGTTTGTTTGTTTTTTCCCTTTGAAAAGACAGGTTCTCTCCAGCAACATCCTACATTTTCTCTTATCAAGAAACTTTCTCATTGGATTATATACTAAATTAGCAGAACTAAAGCTAGCCTATCTCTTAACTTCCTGATTAGGTGGGTATGGAAAAGCATAGTTCAGATTGCATTACAATCACATTCTTGAGCTTTTTATGTATTTGGAATGAGAGATGGAAAGAGAAGAGTAGAAATATAGCAATAAAATCCCCTAGAACAGGGGTGCTTAACCTTTTTTTTTTTGGTATCATGAACCCCTTTAGCACTCTGGTGAAACCTATGGATCTCTTCTCAGAATAATGTTTTTGAATGTATTAGACAGAATTACAAGGATACCAATTACATTGATATATCATTATCAAAATATATGTTTTTAAAAAGCCAATTGCACATGTTAACTACTACTTTTTCCAAATTAATTTTAAATAGCTATAAGTTTAACCAGTTATAAATTTTAACCAATTATAATAAGTTATAAGCATAGCCATTCATGCTGTTGGCCAGAAAAGATCCAATCACGGAGCAACCATGTTTATCTGTTAGACACAATTCTCTTATTCTCCTGAAACTTTGAGCTAATTTTTCTCAGTTAGGTTGCTGTTGCTGCTGTTGTTTTTATTGAGAAGAGAAGAAAAAAGTGCATTCTCATTGGAAGGTAATATTGGATCAGAGGTGTTTCTTGAGAAAAACTTCCTTCATTCAATGGGATATAAGCAAGGCCTACGCATATTTAAGTAGTACATGGTACCATTTTCACCCAACATCACATAGCATGGCATAAAGCAGTTATGCAAACTAATGTGCCCATAAAAATAAGTGTGAATTCTAGTTCTAGACATGCAGCAGGCCCAAAGGGAATCAGGTTTCAGCCTAAGAGACATCTGTTAAAATTAACAGATCTCATGAATATGATGATGTTAGTCATCTACTATAGATCCATCTTAGTGTTCTTTTGGCCTTCAGTGACCAATAGGATGAGACAGGCCTGAATAGGAGAAAATGGGACTGGCAGTGAAACAAAAAATGTGCATAAAACTGCCTGATGGCAGCCTATGAAAAATGCAGTCAAGGTAAATATACCAATGGATAATTTTCTAAAATGTTATACCAATGACCCTGGTTCTCAAAAGCTATGCCCAGCAAAGTTCAAGTACTGGCAGGTTCAACCTATAATAATCATTTTAACAACTCCTCTACAGAGCGCTGTAAAGTTTACCAAGCTTCTGACCTGAATTAAGCTAGCTCTTCATTGCTTTCTTTTAAGTTTTAAAACTCACAAATCTAGTATGCGGCAAATATTAAACACAAAATCAAAAACTTTATTAAGCCAGTTTCCTCAAAGAAAATGGTAATTTCAGTGGAAAAAATCCATTTTTTATGCTGAATCTTTATTCAGCATAAAATAGGGGGAGGGAGCAAAGAAAAAAGACTGATGAAAATGGCAGCTGGGGTGAAAAAATATGTAGAAGTCACAGTAACAGTCAATTTGGGGGTTATGATCCCTGCTATCATCTCTCCCCCCCTAAAGCAGTCATAAATTCAAGTACAAAAACCTGAACTATATCCATTGCATATAGCATGAAGTCAACAAAACATCAATAATTCCAACACATTATAAGAGATATTGTCAATGCTACCATAATAACTCTTTCAGATATGACACAATGTCAATACAAGTGTAAGAATGTTCCATTAATCCTGCATTTGGGGACTAGGAATCCCTAAGCAATCATAATTCATACATTCATAAATAAGAGTTACTTCCATCACAGTATATTGGCCTCAAAAGATATGGGATGTCAACAACACTTTCCTCAGCTTGTCTTTGTTACTTACTGCCAGGCACCATAAAATAACCCAGGCCTATTGAAATTTAACTACAATGCTGAATTTTAATGCCTTTTTTTTTAAACACAGACAAAATGTTTCATTGCAACAGTTACTAGGAGAAAACATCTTTGGATACAATTGAAGAGCCTGATTATTTTGCCGTGTTTGCAGTCGGCTGGTGAGTAGGCCCTGCTTCTAAGAGAGAGAGCATTAGAAGTTGGACAGCTGAGGTCGCAACCCACTTACTCCCCACCCCCCACCAATGTTTCCCTCCCACATCTAAAACCTCACCATAGGTGGCTCAGTCATGTTCTATCCCCGAGGAAAAAGTAGCAACAGATGTATACCATCTTAAAAGAAAATCATACACCAGACATTGAACTTCATGGGTTAAGAACATTAAGTTATCTCTCTTTCATTGTTTCAGAAAAACAAAACATATAATTATAGCTATAGATAGAAATGATAAAGCTATAGATATGAATATATATATAGATATAGAAATATAGATGACATTGATTATATATGGATACAGATATATAGATATGGCTAGAGATATAGATGATAGAGATAAAGATATGGTTACAGATGATAGAGATATAGATTTAGATACAAATACAAATATAGATGATACACACAGATATGGATGATATGAAATGGATATAGAGAGCTATAGATTTCAATATACCCAAGATTCATATATAGATGATATAGATATTGATAAAGATGATATAGATATACAGATATAGATTATATAACACTGATACAAATATGGATGATATAGGTAAAGATAATAAACAAAGAACAGAAAGATATGATGACTGACTTGACTATCACTGAGGTAGCCTGGTACTTCTCTGCAAGTGACACATGGTGAGAGTGAGCATGCTAAGGCATCTGCTATGTTTTATTATATGAATGAAACTGACAGGTCTACGTACTTTTCTGAAACTCCTCCAGTTTCTTAACTGCTTCATCCCGTTCCTGTTTAATTTTGTCACACTGAAAAGAAAAGAAAAGAAAAAAGGAGGAGGATATTAATTTGATTCAACTCAACAAGATGTATTAAAGGCCTATTATAGGTAAGCAATGCTGGATATTAAAAATGAAGGATATAAAATGCTGGATATTAAAAATAAAGACTTGAAGCTGACTGCAACAAGTGGTGAGGCGGAGGTTAGGTAAGCAAAGGCAAACTTTATGAGCAACTTCTCAACAAAGTGTTCAGACACGATTCCAAAAGAATTTTTGCGGGAGAAAAATTAAAAAGCAATGGTCATTCTCATCTGCTTGAATAATTTTGCTAAAATGGTATTTCCACCATTGTACTCTGCTATTTTTCTAAGACCTCCCAAAAATTGAGACATTTTATTACAATCATCTAGTCAATAAGATTTCTGTGTAACATATTCAAGCTAAAAAACATTCACTCTTTAAGAGAACTCTTTTGCTGTACAGCAGTAGCTTTTATTAATTACAGTAACTGTCATGGGCACTGAATAACCCTCTACTTTTTTCATGCAGCCATGCAGGTCAAGTAGAATCTCGGTAAGTTATGAATTTGGCAGTCTCCTCCAGGATCAGATATGCTAGCTGGCCCACTGAAGTTCATACAATGGCTGATTGATGAATGAATGGATGGATGAATGAATGAAAATGTTTTTCTTAAGCATCTTCCATGTGCCAAACTCTATGCTAAGGATACAAATACAAAAACGAAGGTAGTATATACAGCCCTCATAGAGCTTATATTTCAATAAGGAAAGACAACTCAAATAAGTGAGTAGTGACCATGGAGGGATATTAAGTTGGAAAGTTATAACAACGGTAGGTAGAGCCATAAAGGAGTAGACTGACTAATCTTTCCAGGAGCAATGACAGAGTTAACTATTACGGTTTCAGAATGGTAACAGGGGTAAGAGCATGTGTGAAACAACATGACAGCTGAGGAAGAAATGGCTAGGGAGTGAAGAGTATTTGGATTGCTAAATAAACACCAATCAGTATAACAGATAAATGGGTTCCTCCAAAGTAGTTTCTTTTTAGGTCTTGGGGTTGATCCTCAAACCCTGGTAAAGACATCATAATTGATATTTATATAGCACTTAAAAATTTCTAAAGCATTTTATATGCTTTGCCTCATTTGAGACTTGCAACAACTCTGTGAGATAGATATCATGGGTATTATTATCCCCATTCCACAAATAAGGAAACTGAGACTCTGAAAGATTATGCGATTTGCCCATCGTCACAAAGCTATGAAAGATAGTATTTGGATCCAAGTCTTCCCATTTTATATTTCAGCACTTTATCCACTATGCCCTACTGACTCTCTCATCAACTCATACATCAGGAAGAGGCACCTCTCTCCATCAATTAACAAACATTTATTAAATGCTTTTATTCATATGCCATTGTATGCCAGGAACTCTGCTAGACATTGGAGATACAGAGACAAAAATTCATTTTCCGTTTTAATCAAACCCTTAGTCCCCTCCACCGAGACTGCCAATAGTAGCAGAAGCATTGAATAGGGACAGCATTCTATTCACACCTAAACAAAGACCACCAGCTCACTTCTCACACAGGCCACCAAATAACTGTCAAATACCGGTAACTTTCAGCCAATGCCAATCTCAGATGGTGGCACATTAACAGTCCAGATGTTAAAGATTCCATTACCAAAATCCACTCACTGATCAAATATTAATTTCCTTCCAAAAGGATTAGGTAGAAAGGCTCTAGCAGAGTCCAGGCCAGAGTGGCCCAGCCTTTTTTTTTTTTAAACCAAACAAAACAAACAAAAAAAAAAGCAAGTGACCAATCTCTGCAAGCACAGTTTTTATGTAATTCCTGCCTTCATGAATAGTAGATTTTTTAGCTGTCTGCAAACCTACAGCTGTGTAATACCAAAGGTCTTCATGTGTCTGTGGCTTCTATTTTCTGCAACTGCATTATGAGAGAACTGGCAGCCACAGAATCTACCATCTGCTATGGATATTGAAAGGAAAAAAATTTACAAGTGCAGCAAGTGTAGCTTTACTTATCACAAGATGGAACAAAATCCAATGTAAAGCATGTGTGCATTCACTGAGCAGGGGTCCCAGTTACCGACTAATGCATTATTTTAGCTAAGTCCTGAAAAAGATTGTACTTTCTCATTCAGCTAAAAAAGAAGAGGAACATTAAAAATATTATAGGCCTTTTAGGTGGAATGTTGTATCTTCAGTTATATTACGCTAAGCCACACAGTCAAAGGACCCACCCCCACCCCAGCTGCACCATTTATATAAACTGCTCCCTTTTTGTGTAAGAATTGCCCGCAAAGAACTCGCAATAGCAACAGATGTTCTCGGGACCACATTGCTTAATTGTAATTCCCAATGATTCTCTGTTGCTTACAGCTCACATGGAACATAGCAGCATGATTGCTGGCTAGTTGAAGCAACCTGGATAATATTATGCCTTCTCTATAGTCTCTATTTTGGCTCTTTATGAAGTGGCGAATTGATCCATGGTTGGCCTTGTGGGTTTTGAAAGCCCTTCATCGTGCAAGCCTTGGCTATTTTCCAGATCTCTTCCTTGAACCTCATCCAGGCGGATACCTGGCTTCTGACACTGACCCTGAACTTCTGGGTTTTGGCAGGTATGTCTGCAGAGAAGGTCTCTATAGAATGAATTTGTAACACCCAGAGATGTCTTGTCCAGATCCTTTGCCATTTCTAACACAATCTTAAATTATGATCAACTTTGTATTATTTGCATTAATAATGTAACAATGAAACAGACTATATACATCTGAAAAAATACACATGTATATATGGGTGTATACATACATACATATATACACACACACACTCACCATATATAGGGATCAAGAAATAGCCAAAGACAATCCAAAAAGATTACAATTGTAAGAATGGTGTGTGTGTGTATGTGGGGGATAATAATCATTGAGTTCAACTCTCTTTTTTTTATAGATGAAAAAACTAGCCCAGAGAAGTTACATGACTTCCCTAAAAGCATATAGCCAGTAAGTGCAGTAGATTAGCATTTGAGCTTTGGTTTCTGTGACAACAAAAGTTTCAATTTTTTTTTTTGGCAGGGTGGTGAGGCAATTGCCCAGAGTCACCCAGCTAGTGAATGTTATATGTCTGAGGCTGGATTTGAACTCAGGTCCTCCTGACTCCAGGGCGGGTGCTCTAACCACTGTACCACCTAGCTGCCCCCAAAATTCTAATCTTTATAAAATTTACACACATACACACACATACACACACACACACACACACACACACAAGCTAGTCTACCATATGCCTTCCTTACAAAAATTTTGTGACCTAAGTAGGTACAAGTATTATTATTCAACTTAACAGATGAGAACACTGAGGTCCAAGAAGTTGTTATTTCCCCTGATTATGCTACTAGAGCCAGACCTTCTGAAACTTAGTACAGTGTTCTTTTCAGTAAACCACTGCTGCCTCTTGACTGATCTCAATGTGAAGAACTGACAGCTAATTGCATCTGGCATCTAAACAAGTATTTATTTTTTAAAATGTTCTATGTTATCCTACTTTCCCATTTTCCTCCTTCACCATTCCAAAACCTTGTCACTTATTTTCTCTCAAAGGAAGAGTCTCTATGTCCTAATATGTAAACTTTTCACATACATACAAAAAGTATGCATATGATGAGAATTTATACATATTTACCTAATATGGAATAAGCTATCTCAAATTACTTTTTAATAAAAACTACCATTTTACTGCTTCATTTGGACAACTCAGGCTGGACTTCAACCACAATTTACAAATTCCTACAAACATATACAAAGCATACAATAAATTAAACTATTTTAACTTGCAAGAAATTCTTTCTAATCTCCATTCCCTCTCTCTAAATGTTTTGGAAGTTCTTTGTTTCACTCCAATTTTAACAGGAATAAGAAGTGGGAACTACCCTAAAGCTGTCTTACTGCATTCTCCAAATTCTAGGTATTTATTGTGTGTTAGATGGAAACACGTGTCATCAGAACAGAGATCCTTGTTCTTTGTTTCTGGATAGATTGCTGTTAATAAGAGACTCATTTTCACTTTCAAACTGCTAAGTAATTACTTTTTTTTCCCCCTGGCACAACCACTTGCTATTCTATCTCAAAGAAATTGCATGTATATGGATGTATTATGCATGAACAGTTAGCACAATAGATGTGTATTTTGCTTTTTTTAAAGTGATTTTTATTGAATCCTTTAAAATAAAATACTTCAGAACCTTTACTCCTGAAAATTTACAAGAGGAGGAAATGTTTAACAATACACAACTCCACCAAGACACAGACAGTATCATATGACCAGTTCCTTGAAACATAAGTCTTGGAAAGTATCTGTCTCTCTCCATTTTCATTCACGGCTCCTGGCAGGATGACAGAAACCACGAATGTGTTGTTACAGTATATCACCAAAACTACTTCTACTACAACCACTCAGACATTGACTCACTTCAAAAATCTCTCTAAGGACCTCATACTAAATAGAAATTTTTTTTTTCATTTTTAAGGAAATCACTATCATAATTCATTCTCTCTCTTTTAATGAGAAATCTGAAGGCTATTACAATCCAGTTTGGATAGGGCACCACCCCCACCCCCACACATACACCCCTTTTCTTCCACATAGAAAAAAAAGCAAACACCAAACCTCAATCGATTATGATATAGCCCCTTGCTCAAGAGCAAATACTTTAAAGTGTGTCTTCAATTGTGAGACTGCACGATTGGCCAATGAAACATGTTGATGACAGAAATATAGTGATGTCAGCAATGACAAATGTAAGCATTTATTTGATTGGAAGCCTACTTAGCCCTTCCACTGTTTTCCAAAAGTGAAAGAATATAATTAACAAAGTTGCTGCTGACTTTAAATAGAGCAGTGGAGCACATTAATTTTCCCTGGCCCATCCCCTTCCACCCTTGACCATATGTCAGTGAAACAATTCTATCTTAT